ATAAGATGACAGCACCAATCATAGAGCACGGCAAGAGGGATGGGAGATTCCCAGCAAGAGTAGACAATTCAGTCAGGTCCAGGCATTGAATCATACCTTCCTCTCACCACTGTTTCAAACGCATCAAGCTCGAGACGCTAAGTATCGCCAGAAAGGTCAGAACCGGTAGCAATATGGGGTTCCAGCTCTGGCCAGAGAGACGCGCCACAATCAAACTCACCATCGACCTGTTCCCTTCCCAGCGACGAGCGAGCCCCTCCCCAGCCTGATCAATCACACAACACGGCCCCCCCACAGCGCCCAGGATTGACCCCAATGAGATCCGTTTCTGAAGCGGCCTCCAAAGATCACAACGGCGCTGGAGGCGAGAGCGCAGCCGAGCTTTGATCTCAGCGTCGGTCGCGGCATCCGCCTCACCCTGAAGTTGCGCAATACGCTCGTTCTGTAGAGTCTGGCGACCTGGCAACATCACGAGACATGCGCGCACGCGTCCGCTTGCAGGCTTCGAACATACAACGCTGAACCAGCTCAATGTGTTCAGCAATCGGATCACGGCGCTACATTTCGGGGAGGAGCGTCTCAAATTCAATGTGTAACCGAGGATGCTTCCCAAACCAAAAAAGAATCGATTGATGTTCAGACGTCTGACACTTCCGAAAGGCCGCTATTACCGGAATGTGGTCCGATACATTATGGGCGTTCGTCGCTTTCCCGGTAGCAGAGCAGGCGACGGTAAGATCAGCGAGGACACCATATGGGGTAGCAATATACAAACGATCCAAGCGAATGGCATGGCGCATCACCCCAATTCGCAATCTCACGCCGAACGGGGCCTGGTTGGTGGACCTCCGTCCATCGAGGGAAACGATTGTGAAATGCATCATGCCGGTAGCGACCCCCGGGCCTCCACCCAGAGCCGTCACCGCACTGCCTCTCATCCCCTTCCAACGTGAAATTGCAGTCCCCACCAATCAGAACCAAAGCATTATGTGCCCCGTGAGGGCTCTGTGGGTAAAACGAAGCGAACGATGAAAGGCCTAAGTGGGCTCCCCGGGTGTATACAGACGTGGCGTTTGATCCGTCTTTGGTGACCCACGGCGGATGATCGCAGTCCTCTGGGTTGAACGTCTGGCAGAACTCGCTCGGAAGGGTGTGACAGAGGTGCCTCGCTGCCAGCGTGACGAACTCCAGCTTCACGAGCCTCTGGAGGAAGTGGCGCCAGCGATACTGGCCTCGGCGAAGCTTCAGCTGGCCCTGGTAAAAGTACTCGATCTCGGCCTCCGTCATCTTCTCCCCCTCCATTGAGGATCCAGAGCGAGCCGAGGTCTCCAACGCATTTCGCAATCAGGATCCGACCAGAAACGATACTGTCAGGACGAGCCCCATCAAAAAAAAACATCCCAGGATATAGAATCGTGAGAACGCCCGCAGCAATATCGGATGCGTGCCCAGAGAGAGGATCCTATAGACCAGCGTTGCAGATCGTTCTGAGGAGCCCGATCACCCCCTGCAGTACCGTGAGTCTCTTGAATGCAAGGAATGTTCGTACGACGAGCACGTCTCAATAGTTGTTTGTAACGTCGGGAGGCACGGATGGAAGCATGAGAGATGGAAAAGACGAGTCCTCTAGAGTTCCAGGTGAACACAGACAGGGAACAGAACAAAGGGGGGGCAAAGGGGAGAAGCATTTCACTGGGCTCCACCCTCACCAAGGTGGGTGCTGGAATTGGAACTGCTGCTCGAATCAGAGTCCGGGCTGCTAGAACAAAACTGGAAGAAAAATTAAACAAGGGCCCCTGATGTAAGAACAGATAGTTGCTCCCCGGGGCAGCCTAACCAGTCATCGTCCCGTCTAAAATTGACGCGCTGGCGCCGCCTAGAACGCAGCAAAAAAGTTCTGGCGCAGCTCAGGAGCGTTGAGATTCAATGCTTCCAAGCCTGGCTCGTCGACCTTCACGCAAATTTGTCCGCATGCTGTGGGCGGCAGCACAGACGGAAGAGAGGGCGGGATCCTCGCGAGAATGAAGACCGAAAATATCGCCACCGAATTAGCCTGAAGTCCTACCTTCTTCAATTCTTCCTGAAACCTACCACGAACGTTTCCCATCTTGAAGAGGAGGACCCGATGCTGAGGAGAAAGATTGCGACGAACACGAAGAGGCCAGAGGTCTGCCGAAGTCCGAGGGTTGGTTATGGCATAGGAATCACTGAAATTCCGAAAGCTCACCTGGAAGTCAGAAGCCACGGCGGCAATGGGGAAGTCGAGAGCGACCTTCTTCTGCAAGTCACACGCACAAACCCGAATGAGCTGAGCAGCCTGATCTGCAGCACACTTCGAGAAAATATCCCTGGCGACACGTTCACGACTGGCGGCCATCAACGTGTCCTGGAACCCCAGAATGAAAAGATGGTGGGCATCCTCGAGAACCTAGCCTCCCCCTCCCGTGGTAATGAGCCATCACCGACTGGGCTGTCGACTGCCCTGCGCTTCCCAAGATCCCCTGGGACAGCATGAGACGCGGGAGACCGAGATGCTGCAAGCTGCTGTGCGTGTTCCAAAGCGTTCATCCTGCCTTCTGCCTTCTCGAAGCGGTCGGGGAGTTCTTTGATCATCTGACCTTGGATTCCGAGAGTTGCCGTCACGCCAACGATCCTCTGATCGGGCATGGTGGCGGTCGATAGCAGGTGGGCGTCGAGCATCTCTTTGAACTCAGCCATGTCAAACATGGCGAGTCAGAGCGATCGAGGAGGTGTACACACTGTGTGAGGAGAGAGGGAAATAAAAGGGGGCACGCACGCCACCTCTTGGCAGAACCCTCGAGCCTGCTCCTTGGCTGCTCCCAAGCTGGAGCGACGGAGCAACGGTTCCAACCTGAGCCACAATGGCTACGGATGATGATGATGATGATGATGATGATGATGATGATGATGATGATGATGATGATGATGATGATGATGCTGATGCTGATGATGATGATGGTGATGATGATGGTGATGATGATGTTCATGATGATGATGATGATGATGATGATGATGATGATGCTGATGATGCTGCTGCTGATGCTGCTGCTGATGATGGTGATGGTGATGGTGATGGTGATGGTGATGGTGATGGTGATGGTGATGGTGATGGTGATGGTGATGGTGATGGTGATGATGATGGTGGTCATGATGATGATGCTGATGATGATGATGATGGTGGTGTTGGTGATGATGATGATAATGGTGATGATCATGATTATCATTATTATGAGAATGGTGATAATTATGCTGATGATGATGGTGGGAGGAAGGACGAGAGGAGCAGGAGGACGAGGAGGACAAGGAGAGGAACGTCGATCATGATGATGGTGATGATGATGATGATGATGATGATGATAATGGTGGTGGTGATGATGATGATGCTGATGCTGATGCTGATGATGATAGAGGAGGGAGGAGGAGGGGGTAGAGAAAGGCGTGAGGGACGCGTGGCGTGCGGTCTCTTCAAAACGAGGACCCAATACCACAGGATGGTTGGGAAAAAATGCAAATGCAATCCCTAAACGTCACAGCGAACTGCTCCGCGGCCACGATTGCGACGCAACTGTGGACTCGCGGTCGCAGCTGCAGCTGTCACCTTACTGTCTTCGTCGGTTTATCCCCCCCACCCTCTGCCGTAGGGTGTGGGGCTACGCGCCTGAGCAAATCGACGACGACTTTGACACCACGACTCTTGCATGGATAGTGGCTGCGGCTAACTGCTAACGGCCTGCACCTGGACTACTACAAGGTTGCCACTGGTCGCCCGGCGATAGCGCGCTGCTGAATTAAACAAAGGCCTATCGGCGCCTCGTGTGTGGAGTTCGCTGTGGCACCAATGCGTAGCCCCATGACTCACGCGTGGAGTTTGGCTGAGGTACACGTGCACTGCAAGCGCTCAGACACGAAGTGGTTCCAATCGAATCGATTAATCAATCCACCGACACTGTCAGCGTGTGTGAGGGGCCTGGCTCTTCGAGTCGTCGTCTCCGTCAGTCGTCGTCTCCGTCGTCCCCTTCCCCTGCACCCTCCTCCTCAAGTTTGTCAGCGAGAGAAAAAGCTAGCAATATCGTAATCGAGTCGAAAATAAGCCCCTTCCCTTTGGTCCCTTCCCCGCGCCGGTGGGGGGATCCGGGGGGGGGTCCCGGGGAGGGTCGCCACCCAGATACGCTTTCCCCCCCTGGGGGCCCTGGGGCCTCAGAAAGCACCAAGACAGGCCAGGAGTGTCCCAAGAGGCCGCCGAGACGGACCAAGAGGGTCCCCAATCGCCAAACGGTCGGTCCAAAACGCCTTCCCACCCTCCAGACTGCCCAGGAGGCCTCCAGGACGCCCCAAGACGCCTCCAAGAGCACTCCCGAGAGGGCCCCAAGAAGCCAAATTCATTGATTAGTCGCTCGTTGTTTTAAGATTTGGGCGTTCTCGCCTTTTCCACTTCCCATCGCTCCAAAACGGCGCCGGAGGCCCCCAAGATCTCCCCAAGACAACCCAAGAGGCCGACAAGAAGGCCCCATAACAGACCAATAGGACCCCAAGACAGCCCGGAACGCCTCCAAGACGGCCCCAGATGCCCCCAAGACGGCTCCAAGAGCGTGCCCAGACGGGGGACCGACCAGACATTTCGAGCCCTCGGCTCCAAGAGGCTCCCAGGAGGCCCCTAGAGGTTCCCCAGAGGCCCCAAGAGGCCCACAAGAGGTCCCCAGGAAGCCCGAAGAGGCCCCCAAGAGGCTCCCAAGATGCCCCCAAGAGGCCCCCAAGAGGCCCCAAAACTTCTCCCCAGAGGCCCCCGAGAAACTTCCGCAGAGACCCCAAGAAACATCCCTGAGGACCCTGGCCCACGTCAGCGTCGTCGTCGTTGCCGACGCCGCCGCCGCTGTCGTCGTCGCCGTCGTCTCCCTTCAGGGTCGGCGGCACCAGCCGCAAAGCCTTCGCAAGAACAGGATGGAGGAGGCCGTGCGAGGTCCCCGAGAGCGGCTTGGCCACTATGCCAGACCCTCCAGCTCCACCTTCAGGGAGAAGAAGGTGGGCCGCTCGCTGGGCTCCTGCGCCCAGCAAGCCCGCGTCAGCTTCTCGAGGGGCACCGCCGTCGCGCACTCGACGTCGATCTTGGGCCTCACGCCCTGCAAGACGAGCCGCGAGACCTCCGCGGCCTCCATGTCCACGAAGGGGGGCTCGAAGCACATGATCTCGAAGAGCAGCATACCGTAGGCGTACACGTCGACCTCCAGGTAGTAGTCGGTGCGCCCAGCCAGGATCTCTGGCGCCATCCACTGCAGGGTGCCCGCTGAGCGTGTCATAGCCCAGTCGCTGCCGCCTTCCGCGCTGTCGCAGATCGATCCGGGGACGAAGGGAGCGCAGGGCGTCGACAACCTCGAAGTAGCTGCCGCGTCACAGCCCTGTCCCGGCTCGCCGCCGATGGGCCGAGCGACTCCGTGCTGTGCTGGGCCCATGCGAATCTTCGCGAGGCCGAAGTCCGTAACTTTTGCAAGCGGCACGTCGCCTGGTGAGCAGACAGGCTCCTGGAGCACGATGTTCAGGGATTTCAGGTCGCGGTGGAGGACCGGCGTCGCCAGCCCGTGGAGGTACACCATGCCCTCGGCGACGTCTCTCGCAACTTTGAGCTGCTGAGTGGGCACCACGTCTACCTCGGACGTGTGCAGCAGGTGGAACAGGGAGCCGCCCCGGCAGAACTCGAGCACCATGTCGAAGGCGCCCTCGTCATGGCAGAACCCGAGCAGGCGGACCAGATTCGGGTGCTGCTGACGCGACATCACGCCCAGCTCCCGGACGAAGGCGCTTGCCCTCTTCTGGCCACCCCCCGTCAGGCGCTTCACGGCGACCTGGCGGCCCTGCCAGGCGCCGCAGAAGACTTCGGAGGTGCTGCCGCTGGCGATGACCTTCTCGATCGTCACGTCCTCACTCGCCATGCCCAGCTCGGCGCCCCAGGCCCATCTAGCCGCGTCGGCGTCGCCCATGCCCTGCATGGCCTCCGCGAGGCAGGCGTCGCGGGCGTCGCCGTGCTGCCCTGGCAAATCGAGGGTGGGGCACCTGGTGCTCCCCCCGTCGTCCTCGCTCGGCAACGCCTTCACGGCGTCCCCCTCTGCGTACGCCTCTGCAGGAGGCGAGCAGCACGGAAAATCAGCACAGTCGCGATGGGCGCCCTGTGACCGGAGGAAGCGCAGGACCGACCGCATGCCCCGCCAGCGAACGTGGGCCGAACACCAATGATTCGATGAGCGTGCCCAAATTGATGACCTGAGCCAAATTTGCGACGGACAGCTCATTGCCTCTAGGCATAAATGAAGAAGTGAGGCCGAGAACGATATGGACGAATCCGGCCTGCACTAGGGGAGAAAAAAAAAGGTGTATACCACCAGCTCTTCAGGGCGTGTGCCTCGGGGGAGTTCCTCTTCCAACCCCCCCTCCCCCTTCTTCCAACCCCCCCTTCCCCTTCGGGGAGGGGTTTATCACTGTTCCCTATTAATATACACCCCCTCCCCCAGGCGACAGGCAGCCTACCAGGAACAATGAGGACACCATGCTCACCCCCACCCCACACCATTCCTATCAAAAGCCAATGCGAACACACACTCTGCCTCCACATGTGGAGCATGCGCGGCCAACCCGATGGCCCCCCCACCATCCCTGTCGAAAAACCATACAAAATACACTTTGGGGCAAAGTCATGAGACATGTTCGTGAGGCCCGCGAGCATCTTGTATTGTTTTTGACAGGGACGGCGGGGGTGTCAGCATATTGCCTGCTGTGCGCAGGGCTACCATCCCTGAATGCACCTCACGGCGAAATCTGGATCATGCGCGGCCACCCCGCGATCACTGCCAAGTGGTTTTTGACAGGCACGGCGGGGGTGGTGGCATATGGCCTGCTGTGCGCAGGCCCACCAGACACAATGATGGGTATTGGTTCGTTCTCGACAAGAATGGTGGGGTCGACATGTTTCCCGGTGTGTGCTGTCACGTGCGCAGGCGCACCTGACACACTCTGCACGTGCCCCGAACGTGGCGCACCTGGCGCGGCTGGAGTATGCGGCACACCTGGCGCACGCGGAGCACGTGGAGCATCTGGCGCACCAGGCGTGCCTGGCACGCTCGGGCCCCAGGGGTGCCTGGCGCGCGTGGCGCGCCTGGCACGCGTGGCGCACCTCGCCCAAGCGTCGCGCACATGGGGTCGTTTTTTATTCCCAGTAGCAGTCCATTCAAAGACGACCGCTGAACATGCTCAGGCTCGAGTCTTACTTACTATGTGTTGGGAGGGCGGGTGGGAGTGAGCTACCCCCTCTCCCTGGGTCTGGAGGGAAGCGGGATCGCCAAGCGATAGAGCGTCGAAAACGGCCTCGGAGAGAAGAGAATAATCACTGATGTTACTAAGGTTTTGGCCACATGTTGACCTCCTGGGGGGGGGGGGAGAACCCTCATTTACTATGGCCCCTCCTTTGATCGATCTCCTCCAAGATGGCCCCAA